GGTCCTATAAGCATCCTGTTGTAACACCTTTATATAACACGCACAATTGTTTGGTCCTATAAGCATCCTGTTGTAACACCTTTATATAACACGCATAATTGTTTGGTCCTATAAGCTCAAGACCAGTAAAAGAGTCTATTAGGACATTTAGACATAATTTGCATCTTATAAAGTCGATTTTCTTGTAGTGATTCCATTTTCTCATTCACGTTTTAGTAATCAAGCTTTCGTTTCTTTTCTTATTAGAAACGCGCACCTGCTTTGTTGGACAACCTAGCACAAGCCTTCTTGATGGCACCCTTTTTCGTGTTGTTAGAGGTAATTCGCGTGTGCCCTTTGTATCTCTCACTGTGTGCATGTACGTATGTATATGTGTATGTATGTATACTATTTTCTTAATCTTTGTTGTTGATGTTCAGACTCTTCAAATGGCGTTCGGTTATGAACCATATCCGGGGTTTCATGAACATGTTAAAGCCAAAGTAGATGCAGGTATCCAAGAGTGGAAGGAGAAGAAGCAAAAGAAGATTTCATAAATATTATATGTCAAGTAACGAAAAACTTCTGTTACATACAAAACATTCGTGTTGCAAACTATATGTTGTTTTCATTATGTATAACAAAATCAAAATGATGCTTTGCAAATTCATCATATGTTTGTTCCCAACTCCTGCCTCCAAGTCCCTGATCCTATCAAACACGCTTAACTCGGTTATGCGGGACCAGTCCCTCATCCTATCAGGTTAAGGGTTGTTTGGTTGGTTTTCCATCAAGTCCTGCATGGATAAAGCTACTGTGTGGATTAACCTGGCTATATAGATTGGGAAATATCTGCTTGGGTGGGTTTTTCCATAGAGGATATAAACATGTTTTTTAATTGGGAATGATAGGTTTGAAAAAAAAAAAAACTTGACTTTTGCATAAAGCTCCTCCTAAAAACTTATGAATAAGCCACTTTCTACATCATTAAGCCACTATGAAACAGTATAGCTGACGAAATAAGTTACAAGTCCCATTAAGCTTATTAAGTTGTTAACAAACAAAACCTAAATCGGTTAAGTGGGACCCAAGATAGCATGTACAAATCCTATTCCCGAGTGTATCATGGTACGCCAATGAAACTGTTACCAGGGCTCGGTTTTTGAACTCCATTAGCGGTCATTGATCTTCTTACTCTCGAAACTTGGTTCCAATCCTCTAGGCTTGCATAAGTATTAGCAAGAAGAACATAATCGCTGCTATGATCCGGTTCCACCTCCAAAAGATGCATTCTAACCTTCTCGGCTAGTTTCACGTTGCCGTGAATCCGGCAACCGCCCAATAACGTCCGCCAGATGATGGCGTTGCATTTCATCGGCATACTTTGAACCAATAGATAAGCCTCAATGACCAACCCAGCTCTACATAACATATCTACCATGCATCCATAGTGTTTTATTGCTGGTTTCGTTTGGTATTCTTTGGTCATTTTATCGAAATATTGCCGTCCTTTTTCGATCATTCCCCCGTGGCTACACGCGCTTAGAACTCCCAGGAAAGTTATGTCGTTGGGTGGTGCGTCTTTTTCGTTTATCATTATCGAAAATACGTCTAGGGCTTCTCGAAAATGACCGTGCGCTGCTAGTCCCAAGATCATCGTGTTCCATGTTACTGTGTTTTTTGATTTCATTCGATTGAAAATCTCATGTGCTTCTTCAAGTTCTCCACATCGTGCATACATATGAATCAGTGAATTCGCGATTGATACATCGTTCATCGAGCAATTTTGATCAACGATGGAATGAACCCACCTCCCGAGCTCCAAGGCACCAAGTGCAGCACAAGCCGATAGGATCACGACCAATGTGGCATCATCGGGTTTTATTCCGGCATCCAGCATTTGCGAAAACAATTCCAGTGCCTCTTGGTGTTTTCCACAGCAGACATGGCTATCAATGATGGTGTTCCAAGCAACCAAGTTTGGGTTGGGCATTTCATCGAACAGTTGGCATGCAATGCGGAGATTGTTGAGCATTCCATACATATGAATCAGGGTGTTTCTCACAAAAACATGACCATCAAGGCCGTGTTTTACGGCATTGCAATGAGTTTGTTTCCCCAGCAAAATTGACCCAGATTGGGCACTAGATTTAATCAAGAAAGAGAGAGTAAAATTGTCTGCAATCTCTCCATGATCAAGCATCCTCTTATAGTAAGAAAACACTTGATGTACTTGATTCATCCTACCAAACCCTCTAATCATCGTGTTCCAAAGAAACCCATCTGGATTCTCAATCGTTTTGAAAATCGAAACAGCATAATCCATAGAACACTCATCTGATACAGCACAAAACACGATAATCTTACCCACAACAAATAAGCTCTGAGTAAAGCCAGTTTGAACCAGATGGGCATGGAGTTGTTCAATATCCCTCTTGGTGCAAGATTTCTTGAAAACAGAAAGAAGAGCTTGCTCCTTCTTGGAGTAACTTCTGCCATGTGGGTTCGGAATCATGGTGGGTGTTTGTGAAGAAAAATGACAAAAAAGATTCGGATGTTGCAAAGAATGTGGTAAAAATGAAACAAGTTTCCATTTTGATGATGGTTTGATGAAGTTACAGCAACTATTCACCATACCCACAAACTGATGCAGGTTGAGATTTGAAGAAATTGTGGATTTGGGAAGAGATTGCATCATCTTTGATGCAATGAAGGTCTGTTACGTTTTTGTTTTGTACGACAGTGAGAAAACAAATGGGGTTTGATGTGTAAAAAAGATTTGTTTTTCATAGACGATAAATTTGGTTTGCAATTTTAAAATTATAAAATAATTTTCATAGTTTGTAAAAACGATGACTTTCTTTAATAATTGCTAAAAAATTCCGCCAAATGAAGGAGTTTGCGTTCTTTTGTCATTTTTTGGTTTTTACTTGATCAAAACCGATTTATGATTTTCGTCTTTGTGGTTTTTGATCGGGTAAAAGATAAAAAAAATTGATAAATGTTCCTCATATAACAAAATTCTTTAACAACGGCCAACATTTTGAGTTATTGATGAAAAGACTCTTCATTTTTACGAGAGTTAGTTCAAGGGACGCAATCGATAACCAGAATGAGTACAAATTTATAGGACGAAATTTGTCTGTAATTTACTCTTTTTGCTATTCAGTGTAAAATATATGAGTTAATTTTTGTAGGTATAAAATAATTAAGAGTGGCGAAGGCTTCACATATTATTAGTTTGTGTAAATTATAATACTTTTTCACATTCTACAATTTCTCTCTAAAAACAATTTTAAATTTAAATTTTTTATTTTTGGTTTAGAATAAAATCCCATCTCCCGTTTAAATCACATGCATTTTTAACTACTTTTAAAATTTATACATATGAGATGCGTTCATAAAATAAAATATAATTTAAAACGACTCGATTTCATATAATTAAATCAGATTATTCCATCTAAAAACATGAATTCTTCCATTTAGATCTGGAAATGGATGTTGCAACTAACATGTGAACTAAGGAGGTATCGGGTGTGTTTAGCCTCATAGCAAATCAATGGTTTAAACATCACCAAAAGTGAAGATTGTTTCTTTTATATATATATAATATTATACACTTCAAAAAAAGGATGTAAATATAAATTTTCTTATTTATTTATAATCTTAATTAAATAACTATCGGGTCTTATATTTATATCTTATAATCACTTAAAAAAAACACATATCCATACACCCTCTAAGATTTAATTCAATCCATGCTTTGAAGTATGAAAAAAAAAATCCACTTTTGGTCCTCTATTCTTATATTTCAACTTCAAATAAAGCAAAAACTACATGACAATAATTGCATTCCATGTAACAGTTAATTTGAATCTTAATAGATTCTAAAGGTGTTTCCATTCTCAGTTTCCATCTTGATTGTAATAACTAGGCAACTCAAATTGTAACAAAACCGAGAACGACACATAATCATCAAAGATAAGAGAATATGGTTAAGCAAACAAAAGTTAGAAGCAATAATTCTTTTATGAATGTTGAAAATGGCTTTTATTAGTGCCATGATCAAAAGTTAACAAACAAATTGTCCAAAAGAGGAATAAAGGTTTGTTCTTGAAAACCAATTCCACCGGTCTTGTTTTTTTATGTATGGATACATATCGAATTAGGTCATCTTCGCCTACGTCTGCATTCTTAACATGTTGTTGAATTATCAAGAAGAGAAGTTGTATGCATGTTGCTTGACGTAAGACTCAGTTTTTTTTATGTTTGAAGGGAAGTCTCAATTGGTTTAGAGCCTTCAAGCCAATTACCCTTTTCGGCGGTTTCAAGAAAAAGAAATTAGAAATATATAACGGTTTAGTAGGTCACCATATTGTTGAGAAATACAAGTGACACAATTTCAGGTAAATTACGAAAATACCATTTTTTTCATTGTTTTTTAATCTTTTTTAAGAATTACTAGATTTTTATTTCATTTTAATATAATTAGATAATAAATCCATTTTAATTTATTTGTTTTAGTTTTATTTTGTCTATTGACTACTTTAATTTATATTTTCATTTCGTAAAAATTATTTTGATATATTTTATTTTACCTGTTTATCAATTGATATATTAGTTATATAAATTGTGTTTATCAAACATATAGTTTTAATCCATTAGTTTACAATTCGAATCAAATTTAAATAGAATCCGTTACATAACAATAAGTTTGCAGTATCATCCGGTTTTAAAAATTAATTATCTTTCATCCAGAAAATATATTTGACAAATAATTGAATTGCTATCAGTTTTTAGATTTCAAAACAATTTAATACTACGCTTAATGAGATATCGAAGACAACATTTTAATATTTAGAATTTTGTCTTATATAAATATTTCAATTAGAAATATGAAATATAACATCATGGGTGCACTTTGAAACTTATAGAGACTTCAACTTGTTAATGTGGGTTTTTTCAAGACTGTAATTTTGTAGAATCATTTCGGTTATGTGCTTGTTATACAATTTTCTATGATTATATCACATCAAATGTAATAACTTGAGTTTCAACTACTGGTTTAGATTGTCGACATGTTGCATTAAGCAACTTTCACACTTTTGCCAAGATCAAAGCTTTTACATACTGTAAAATTGTCAACCGGATTGTAATCACTTTGATTGTTCACATGTTTATGTAACCTTTCAAGATTATACCACGACTGTATTAATAATTATAACTTCAACTATTGTTTATGTAATAACCCAAAATAATAATAATAAATAAATAAATAAATTGAATGCAATTTAATGACGGGAAACTCAATGGTCATGAAACCTACGACCATTTATTATGGCTTATCGTTTCATATTCCGTGAAACCGCCGATGACTTAGTATATATATATGGGGAGGTCTTCAAGCATAGAGATGACAAATTCTCGGGAAAGGAAACTCGTATAAGAGAGGTGAAAGATGAGGATGATTTGGTGAAGCGCAACAAATTTGATGCGTTTTTGGGAGTTTGTAGCTTTATGTGTAGTTTGGGGTTAAGAAGGAGAACTATTGTGAGAAAATGCGACGGTGGACGCTGTAATGAGAGTTGACGGTGCTCTACATCGAAGTTAGTTTGGCACCAATCGGGGAGACGCTAGCTACTTCAAAGTTCGGTTTGGGCTACGCCATGTATTGTGAGTTACACGTGATTTATTTTTAAAATGGTTGCATGCCTTATTATCCAAAAGTTGTTTGAAGTTTCTCGAGATTTTTGATATGTTATATATGCGTGAAAAGTTCGATATTTTTATAATATGTGTTTTGAGTACTTGTGTGTCAATGGGGATGTACTACGGTATGATTTTGTAAAGACGAGCATGCTTTGTGAGCTTGTCTAAGCCGTAAGTGCGGACATGCTGTGTGAGTTCGCTAGGTAATGCTGTGTGAGGTAGACATCTCTCATGACGTTGTTGCTTTGTGATGTAGACACGCATTATAGTATATTTATTTTGTGAAAAATATTATTCTCATCAAGGCATGCTAATTTATGAAGCTTCGTGAAAATTGTTTATCATAAAAGTTGTTGTTCATGCATGAAAACCGTGGATTCACTAGGCCTAAGGCTCACCCAAAACTCTTTTAAAACTTTTTCTCCCAGGCGGCTATTAGACTGGAAAGAAAAGTTAGATAAAGAGATAAATAAGGATTAGCATCAAAGAATGACATGTGCAGATCAAGGCACTGTTATATCGAGCAAAGTATGTTCGTCAAGATTGTAAGTTTAAATAGTGATATAAATTGTAAGATTAGAAATTTTATTTCCGCTGCAATGTAAGTTTTGATCTTGGGATACTAGTTTTGATATATTTAAGTATTTGGAAATTTTGGGATGTTACAGTTTAGACCATCGACATGCAATATTAAGCGACTTTCGCAATTCTTGCCAAGATCCCACGTCTCCGAAATATGGTATTTGTTAAATATATATAAAAATGAGATATTATTGGTAGAATATATGCTTTATATAATTATTTGTATTGTGGGCTCATTTATTTATTTGCTTAAGGAAATGGGAATATGATAAGGATGAAATGTGTGTAAAATTCCAAGTGTCATGACATCAAGTTTTGTTTGATTGGTTAAGGGTTACTTTCTATGGTCATTCATTTCCCTACACATGTACAAGTTGTTATGCCTTCTAATAATATGCTTATAATTCTATAATGACACCAAAATTCCTTTCTACAATCATTTAGTTTTTTTTTTTTTTTAATTAATTTCGAAAAATTATCCCATTGTTGTCTCGTCTTCTGAATTTTGTCTCTTCATGAAAAAAGTTGCGCTGCCAATACGATTGTCTATGATGCATGTTTTATTTGGTTAGAACTGAAAGAAAAAAGAAATGAAAATGAAGATAATAGGATTAACAAGATGTGGAAAAAATTCATTATCGGTATGTTATGATGTTTGGTAGATTTGTTGTAGTCGAATTAACCTTCTAGCTAGTATTTTGTTTGATGTGTATGTTATCCTGAAGTTGAAGTAGCATTCAGATCAATCCAAGACTATGATGAAAGTTATTGTTAACTCACAACTAAGATATTGTTTGGCAAAAATAAGCTAATTTATCTTCTTGATACATGTTTGCATGCACATAAATTAGCTTATTGAAATGTTAACAATTTAATGGCTTATTTTCATATATTTTTTCAATTATAACCCTCATTAATAAAAATTATAAATAAAATTTAAATATTGCTATTATAAACAAATATCAGAAATAAATATTAATTATTTGTAAACAGTAATTGTTAATAAATATTAATTATTAATCATGTATTGAATATTTATTATTTACAAATTTTTATGTTTACCATTTATTATTATTAAATATTATTTAGTTATAGTATACAATGTTTTATGTCATACTTAGTTATGTATAATAAATAGATGTTTGAGATTTAATTAAGAAAAGCCAACAATTAGTTAAAGTACCACTTTATTTGGCCTCTTCATGTTGTATAATGATACGTGTTTTAACATGTAGAAAAGGAAGTTACACACCTTATGATTGGGTCGAGGAATTGAAGTGAGACAAGTTTCTAAATTTTATGTGGCTTCTTTTCTTCATTTTTATTTGGGACAAACGTTTAGAAATAAATGAAATCTTGCAATTGAATTAACATCTGATTTTTAAACAAAACGTTTGGGTTTTAGTATGAAAATTTTATAATCAATCGACTTGTTTGCTTATGCTTTAAGAA